TTTCATTACTATTCGATTCTTGCTCCATATTAACATTTTGTAACTCACAATCAGTTGTTGCATTTTGAACTTCATGCTGATTGGATACATTATGCTCCAATATTGGTGAATTAAAGCTATTTTCTTTATTAAAATTACTATTTTTATCACCCAAAATATCCATTAGTTCTTCAACGTCATCAAAGATCTTTGGAGCATTTCCACTTGTACGATTTTTCTTTTTATTATACGATTTTTTAGCGCACTAAATTTCCATCTTACTTGATCACCTGTTAACTGTACAAATAAAATAGAATGCAAACACAACACAAGTTAAATAATAAATAGTAATGTTTTGTAAACTTACTGGAACATTAAATAGTGATAGTTCATTAAGCTCAATAGTTATTGACTGCCAAAATTTTTTATTTTTTTTTTTGTAGTATCTGTTTCAATATTTCGAGCTTCATAAGCAGATAAAAGCGCAAAAGTGGCTTGTTTTGTCCATATAAATTTATCCTGAGATTCTTGTGAAACTATTGTTACATCTGTTTTTCCTTTGATTTAGTTGTTCATTAGTATGACTATTTTGTTGAGAGACGACAGAATCCATTTTTTCTTGCAGATGATTATAGTTATTTGTATCAACCTTCGTCAAAACTATTTTTCCAACAGCTTGCAATGACTGCAAGTTCTTCATTGAAATAGTCTGTAATATAACAAAACCGAAAAGTACAATGTATACAATTAGAAATTAATATCTTACATTAATAAACTATAATCAAGTGTTTGTAAATAACTCAATGTTGCTATTATCACTATTCTAACAAGTAAATACACACACATACACACATTTTAAACATATTTAATGTAAATTATCTAATTAATAAATATGTGTGATATGGATGATAATAAATAATATACCATATAATAAATAAAAATATATTTATATAACGTAGTTTAATATTTACTGTCAGATCTTCTAAATTATTGTTGAACAGAATCATGTTAAAAAGGATTATACAAACATAAATATTTATTTACATACTTTATTGCCATGTTTATCTTCTTTCAGGTTACTTCTTCTTTTCTTTTTTTTTATCAAATTACTGTATGTAAGTATCTATTGTGTGCTTTTCATTTAGCGACTCAAGTCGACACAAGCGTCATTCTA